CTCTCTCCCTCTCTCTCTCTGCCCCTTCCCTGCTCTCTCTCTCTCCCAAAATATAAATAAACTTAAAAAAAGTTTAAAATAATAAACTTTTAAAAATAAAATAAATAAATAAAAAATAAATAAACTTTAAAAAATTAAAAATAATAAATAAATACATAAATACATAAATAAACTCTCGTTTGGAAAATCATGCTGGGGAAACCCATTGCTAGGTGTCCACCTAGGGGAAGATGTGGGGTCAGAAAGGATGCCCAGGACGAGGCCTACCCACCACGTCCTGGTCAGGGATGCCCCCCGTGAAGAGGTAGATGCCCTGAGATTGGTGACCGTCTTTGTCCTTGAAATCCACTTCCACAGCCTTCCGCAGAGCGCTGAGGACGTTCCTGCTGCCATGACACTGCAGAGTCAGGGCCCAACTAGGAGGCAAGGAGGGCCTTGCTGAGGGAGGCTGGCTGTGAGGCCCCGGAGGGAGGTCAGGGATTCTGGTGGAGAGGGGGACAGAGAAAACAGCACCGCAGAGGCCGCCCTGAGACACAGCAGGTGCCTCTGACAGTCACCTACCGCCAGGCGCTCTGCAAGTTTTCGTGGTTCACGGCAACCAGCTCTGGCCTCCAGCTTTCTATTGTGCTTCCAAACCTTGGCGGGGAAGGAAAGAGGGTGTGTTCTTAAGCAGGAGATCTGGCCACTCTACACCCCAGGTCTTTGGGCTCCCAGGTCTTTTTGGGGAGCAAAATTCTGACTACACTGAAAAATGCTAGGATGTCCCTGGCCTGGGCCAGCCGCAAGATTTCCTTGCTGGTCCTGATGTGTCACAGTACGTTCCCGGTATGAGCAGAGCTGAGGGGCTCTCAGTGGAGACACAGAGCCAGGACCAGCTATGGCCAGGGTTCCTTTCTGACACCAACTCCCTTCTCTGGGTGAACTCCCCACCCCCAAAGGAGAGAGTCATTTCCCCCTTTTTAAATCCCCCTAGCACTGATTTAGCCCCATAACTCATTTTTTTCACTCTGTCTGCACGATAGTTTTTAATTAAGAAAAAAAAAATGCATCATCTCATTTTCCCATGAGGCAGAATTTAAATCCTTGAGAAGAGGACTGGTTGCCTTTCTCAAAGGCAATCCCTTTTCTAGCTCAAGATTAAGTCTTCTACCTGATCTTCTGAGACCTGCCCACAGACGTCTCCCTCCCCTTCAAACTCCTTCCTCCTCTCTATTCCACTCTTCCCCCTTGTCTCTGTGAATGTTCAAGCCTATTCTTTTTTTTTTTTTTTTTAAGTTTATTTCTTTATTTTGAGAGAGAGAGAGAATCCCAGGCAGGCTCTGCACTGTCAGCACAGAACCTGCTGCAGGGCTGGAACCCATGAACCGTGAGATCATGACCTGAGCTGAAACCATGAATCAGACACACTTAACCAACTGAGCCACCCAGGCACCCCAAGCCTGTCCATTCTCAAAAATAACTTCCTCTTTCTACCAGGGACTCTCTATTAGCCACTTCTCTTTTGTATGTATGGACGAGCTCCCTGGAAAAACAATGTCCCAGCATCTCCTTACTCCTCAACCCACTGCAGTCAAGCTTCTGGTAGGTTCTCTGGCAAATATTAACAATGACCTTGGTCATGATCTCACCATCCTGAGATGGAGCACTGCCTCTTCAGCACGCCGACAGTGCGGAGCCTGCTTCAGATTCTCTCTCTCAAATTCTCTGTCTCACACACACCGCCCCTTGCACACTTTCTCTTTCTCTCTCTCTCTCTCTCTCTCAAAATAAACAAATAAAACTTAAAATAAAACCAATGACCTTCTTCCCCCTCATGAAAATATGTATTGTAGTTGGATAATAAATCCTCTATTACAACTGGATAAAAATTTTAACAACATCCAGAGAGTGAAAATTTGTCCAATTTTATTCCTTAGAAAAAAATTCTGTTAACTTTTTACTCTATATTCTTTCAGATTAAAAAAAAAAAAAAAGCACAGGTGTGCGTGGCTGGTTCAGTCTGTAGAGCATGCGACTCTTGATCTCAGTTGTAAGTTCGAGCCCCATGATGGGTGTAGAGATTACTTATAAATAAATAAAATCTTTAAACTAAATTAAAAAAATAAATGTGTAAAACTTGTCAAATCACTGAGTTGTACCCCTGAAACTAACATTGTGTGCCAACTATACTTTAAAAAAAAAACACAGGAGAGGTAAATATATATTTATAGAAATGGAATTATACAGTATATACTATTTGTAATCTACCTGTTCCCTTTCGTTGGGACTTACGGAGGACATTTTTCTTTTTTTTTTTTTTTAATTTTTTTTTCAACGTTTTATTTATTTGTGGGACAGAGAGAGACAGAGCATGAACGGGGGAGGGGCAGAGAGAGAGGGAGACACAGAATCGGAAACAGGCTCCAGGCTCTGAGCCATCAGCCCAGAGCCCGACGCGGGGCTCAAACTCAGGGACGGCGAGATCGTGACCTGGCTGAAGTCGGACGCCCAACCGACTGCGCCACCCAGGCGCCCCGGGAGGACATTTTTCTAAATGCACACATGTAACTCTCCCTCATTCTTTTGAATAGTTGCACTGTCAGGATTGTTTTACCAATTTTTCCAAGGGTCATGCAGTTTGTTTCCAGGTTTATCCGTGTTAGACTCTGTACTGAACAACCCAGCATGGTTATCTCTGTATGCTTGGCTTTGTATTCCCTTCAGATAATATATAAAGGTTTAATTGAAGGAATGAAGAATATATACTTAAAAAATTTAATACAAGGGCTATACCAAATTACACTTCTACTGACAGTTTCCAAGAGTGCCCTTCTTACTGCATCATCACCAGCACTGGGCACTGTTATTATTTTAAACCTTTTAAATATTCAGTTGCCAAACTGAATTCCAAAATCCTATATCTCATTGTTTTGTTACCAGTGAGCGTCACTGTCAAATTCAGTAGACTCCTTCATTCCTCCCCTTCCTGCTTTTCTTCTGCAGGATCAAACTCTGTTTCTTTCTGAGACCTCGCTTCTCAATACTACTCCCTCCTCGTTTTCCTCCTACCTCTCCGCTGCTCCTCTCCTGTGTTTCTCTGGTGGTCCCCTCCAAATGTCAGTGCCTAATCAGTTCTGTCTTTGGTTGTCCTCTCTCGCCTTCATATCTCCACAGGTGCAATTCATGCACTTCCGTGTGTGGAACCACATAACCAGAATACTGATGGCTTGCAGACCTGTGCTTCCTGGCTAGAACTCCTCAGTGGAACCCCAACAAGGACATCTCCTCTTGGAAACCTCCAACTCTACATGGTTAAAACTATCTTCTACTTCCAAGATCTGCTCCATCTGGGCTATCCTCTCTTCACTGTTCTCTCACCCCCTATAGCCACATGGTAACGACGCTTTGCGGATTCTAACTCTGCAATGGCTCTCACATGCATCCCTTCCTCCATCACCATGGCCAACAGTTCAAGCCTACTCCACACTAGTGCAGACCAGTGGAGCGGTCCAAATGGCCTCCATCCCTTTAATGTGTCCTTTGCACTGTGACTTGAGCATTCAAGATCCGCTCATCTTATGACCTTGCTTAAAATCCTTTAATGCCTATATGTCCTGTAGTATAAAAGCTCCTGAGCACATCCTCTATGTATAAATTCTCCATCACCTGTTTTATTCTGTCATGCACAATCTCTCTTTCTCACCCTGTAACCTACTGAACTCCCTGATGGCCTCCCAAATTTCCATAGTCTCCGTTCCAACACAATATACAACGTTCCACAGTTCCAACACCTGTATGCCTCATGTTGTTCCCTTTGCCAAAAATGCCTTTCCTCCCCACTGCCCCCATCATTCACGTGTGCTAGGTAAACACCTGCTCACTTGGTAAGACTTGGCAAAAGGGTCACTTCCTCTGTGAATATTTTCTGACCTAACTCTGCTCAGGCAGGATGGTCTGATCCTGCCTTCTACCTATTTCTGTAGAAAACAGTTAATAACACTTATTTCTTAACATGCCTGTCTCCCTCTACTAGACCCCAAGTTCCTTGAGAACAGGTATTATGTGTATGCACTTCTGTATCCCCAATGCTGAGTGTGGTGATTGGCACAGAGCAGGCTTTCAGTAAAAGTTTGTTGAATGAATGGATGGGTAAATTAATGAAAACATTGCCTAATATGTATCTCTAAGCATTTTTTTCTGTAACATTTATTAGAAAAAGATTAGGCTCTGGTACAGAATAATATATAATATTAACCACTGTCTTAATTGATTTAGAATACTCTCTATTTGAGAGGCACCTGGGTGGCTCAGTCAGTTAAGCATCCGATCTCGGCTCAGGTCATGATCTTACAGTTCCTGAGTTTGAGCCCTGCATCA